TGTGTTTGTGGTTTTGTGTTTGTGGTTGCGTTTGTGGTTGTGTGCTTGTCGTTGTGTTTGTCGTTGTGTTTGTGGTTGTGTGTTTGTGGTTGTGGCTGTGGTTGTGTTTGTGGTTGTGTGTTTGTGATTGTGTTTGTGGTTGTGTGTTTGTGGTTGCGTTTGTGTTTGTGTGTTTGTGGATGTGTTTGTGGTTGTGTGTTTGTGGTTGTGTGGTTGTGTGTTTGTGATTGTGTTTGTGGTGGTATGATTGTGTTTGTGATTGTGGTTGTGGTTGTGTGCTGTGGTTGAGGTCCGGCAGGGAACACTTGGGACTGGAGCTCGCGGTTGAGGTCCGGCAGAGAAGACTGGGCGCGGATGGTCCTGGTTGAGGTCCGGCAGGGAACACTGGGCGTGGATCGTCGTGGTTGAGGTCTGGCGGAGGAGGACGCGGAGGAGAAGGAGGAGGAGGAGAAGAAGGAGGAGATGGGGCTGACGTAAAAATCTACAGTAACAACCCTCACCTGACAGGTGGGGAAAAACTGCATCCATCCAGCCCTGGGGAGGACAGTTTGACCCGGCTGAGTTGATCTATTAGAGAAGTAATTGGTGGTAGATCAATTAAAGCTCTTTCTAAAGTCGGGCAAAAAGTCTGCAAGAACGAACGCAGCGTAGGTTCACCATTGGCATCGTTTATGAAGGCTGCAATCATATCGCAAATGGCGGGGCACCATCACCATCTTGCTATTAGCTGGAGTTCATATGGCGGGATAGAATCCATTCCGGGTGAGGAAGGTCTATACTATACAGCAAGGGACCGAAACATGTCTGGGTGAGTTCACTGATATCAAACAAACCATCCAGTCCTGCAATCAACCATCAACTGTCAATAACACGTTCACCTCCTGTCAGAGCTCTCCCTGGTGAACAACAAACACACTTCTTCGCATTGGGTAGATCTGACGCTCTGAATCGACTGATGAGTTCAATGTCCTGCTTCAACCCCCTTCAACCTGTTTTGTCCACTGTGCCCTTGAGTCATGGCGACGTCACATCTTCCGTCAAACGCGACAAACGCGACATTCTGACTGCCCAGGAACTGAATCTTCCCACGACAAATGGGGCAGGTGTCACCTTGGACATCACGAATGGATACTGGGTTCCCATAGGTTCTGGTGCATGGGTCTGACCGACAGATTTTGAAGGACAGGCTGGTCGCAAGGCACAAGGCCAAAAGCCATCCCGTGCTTCCCAAAAATACGTACCCAACACTCAATGTATGGAATAGTACAGTCAGACCCTCAAACCACCCCGATGTTGGGCATCATGTTACCCATCTCCCTTCAACCCTGTGGCCTATGTTCTAAGAAACTCCGAGTGCGCGGGCCATTTATGTTGCCTGGTTGACTAAACCCCAAAAACGCCAGCAGCACAGGTGTGCGTTTCTTCCGGGTCCGTACACTCAGCAATGGCGGCGTGAAGGTGTAGATGTAGATCGATAGAGAGAGAGAGAGATAACCAGATTACAACCCCCTGAAGTTGTGACCTCGTTTCTCTCTACTTGCGTGGCAGTATTTGGTAAACATCACGCATAATAAAGTACATAAACAAATGAATACTGTAAATAAATAAACAATAAAGAGCGTTGAAGTATTAGTGCTCTGTGGCAAGTTTTTGACGCTATTGAAATCAAGCTTTTTCGGTCATCCAGTTCGAAGCGTAGAACTTACAAGTTGAGGTGGGTTTTGGGGGAGCGCAACCGGGCACGAAGTCTTGCCACAGGAATGGCCAATGACCCTGCCACAGTCAATATCACAATCTGTGCAAAGAGGACTGCCAAGAAAGGGAACTTGTTGGTCGTCTACACAGCTTGTGGAGATCATCAAAGTCTCCGTATATCAACAAAGTGGAGGATGCCAGTGGTGAAAATCCAGCAATATCAGTTCTGGCAAAGCTCACTAATTGCGAATCCAACATGTATAGATCCCTCCCCCTTGTTTTTCCGATCACCTGAATTGCCATTTCAGTCATCAGGAAACTCCCCTGAATCTGTATCTTGGGGTCGAATTTGGAAACACACCCAGTATACAGGCACGGACCTAGTGGTCCCGAAATCCCCCAAATAGATAGTGGCACGGTTTTCAATACATTCTTAGTGGTGATTTACTGTAACATATACTTTTCTAAACCTCAGCCTCCTCATACCTGCAGGTATGCCCATTCTAGACCCTAAGAGTATAGTTAAGGGATGTGGGTCGGGTATGCCCATTCGGACGAGGGGTCTGTCCACTCCGCCAAGTTCGGCACCCCTGAGCTGTGCTCCGATCGAAAGCTCCCGTGCACACTCCTGGGGAGACCAATGGAGACCAATAGATCCATCAAAAGCGTTTGACCGGGATGCCAGGTGAGAAGACTGTGCCAGGTGGGAAGACTGTGCTCCGAATGAGCTTGCAAAAAGGCTCTGGGGCTTCCAGGAGTCAATCACGAACTAGTACGCAAAACAGGCAAAGTGCTGGGACTATGGGACCTCACCAAGCTCTAAGAGCGTCTAAGAGTATAGATGCTAACAATAAGCTCAATCCACCCATGACGACCGAGGCGAAAAGGACGACCAAGGCGTCAGGCTGTTGCCTTCGGGGCGTCGGTGACCCGGCCAGTCACCCAGTAGCAGTGATCCCCACAGATGTGACCATCACTGCGTGGACGGACGAAGAAAGCCGTCACTGTTGGATCTGGAAGATCACATGTCTTGGCCTTAGCTGTACATAGCTGTCCCACATCCTGCCTACTGTAAAGTAGACCATAGACCACTGTAAAAAAGGAGGGCCCTGGCCTTCCCCAAAAAATCCCCACGAGGGCCGTGGTCTGCAAGTACACAACCATTCAACTGCGCCGTGATCGGCCGAAAGGCCTTTCTTGTGTAGTCCAACGAGAACAACGAACAGGGCGCCTCTTGAGAGGTGCCAACATGGACTCACCGCATGGACGCCTCACCCCACGAGCACGAGAGGGGGCCCTTGGAACACGCACCTGCAAACCCCTAAAACACCTCCCTCTGACCCAAACCGATCGTCCAATGACGATCAGTCCCACCGACGCGACGCAAGAAAGCCCACCGCTCCTCGCAAAGGCATAAATGCCGACAGGGGAGAATCGCCGTCGTGCGTGGGTCACTTAAGCACACCACGCCTGGAGACGAGGGCGGTGCTGGTGCAAACTCGGTGGGGTCAGGTGCAGAATGCATGAGAGGTCTAGGTGCCGGGAGTCCTTCGAAGATGAAGATCAGCAATGGCCAAAGTGGATTTCTTTTAAGATGTTTTAAGTGCGTCCCTGGTGACTCTCTTACGTAACATGTCTTGTAGAAAAAGGGTCACAAAAGCTGTATGCCTCCCACGAAAAGTCATGCGAGCAGTCTTGCTCTCCTAGCAAAAGTCCCGGATGATGCAACAAACATATGCAAATTGTTCTCCTAGAACAAAATGAACAATTAGTCTCTGTATCAGCACATGTCGGGCGCATAAACACCTGACTCCACCTGTACTATGTTACCAACACTACGTATGTTTCTTCTGCGATTTCACACATTGTCACATCGGGACAAAGAAATTGTGAAAGTTTGCTCAATCTGTCTGTCGACTCAGAAAATAGAACCCATATATCAGGAGTATCTATATATATATATATATGTGTGTATATCAGAAAGATATCAATAGAATTCGTATATCAGAACATATCATGAAACATCGAGTTTGAGTGTATCTTTGGCACCAGTGCCCCAACATTAACACGCTTCAGATCACTGCAATCCAGCTTAGGACCCTATTAGAGTCCTATGCATCCTTTTTCCAGCTGAAGATTGCTGATTAGAAAAGGATCACGCCCCCTCCGTGGACTTCCAAATTGAAACAAAAAGATGTTCGAAGGTGCAACACTACAACAAGTACCTTGTGGACCCCTTTTGACTCCGCTACTCGCTGTTCGTCCTCAGATCTGTAGCAAGACTGCACACAGGTTTTGCACTGGGATCTCCTGGGAAGGCCTTACCAATGCTAGAAAGACCTAGAAAGAGAAAGACGTCCAGACTGATTCCTCAAGCAATGCAAACCAACTTGATTGCGGCAAATGGTACAACTACTCTCATTCCCAAAGGCAAGTTAAGGCACAAAATCAGAAACCCAAAAAGTGTACTTGCACAAATCCATATTCCATATCTTCGAAGGTCTCTGCTGGGTGGTGGTGGTGGTGGTGGTGGTGGTGGTGGTGGTGGTGGTGGTGGTCAACCCCACACCACACGTTCACGTTCACCAAGATACACGGTTCGCCGTGAGAGCTTTCATCGTGAGCTCCATCCTCCTGTCATTGGAAGTGGGGACTGAGTTCTTAGCTGTGTAAGTACGATTATATAACTATACAGAGTCCTTCAGTGAAGGGCATCCTCAATGAAACATACAGTATCACCTTGCCAAAAGCTCTGGGACATGATAGAAAAAAGGGGTACTGGCTAGGCCAAGAACCACATGTAACTTGTAAGAATAGTCTATGTCTATGACTGCTAAAATCTTGACTGCCACAGTACCTGTTCATCGATCGTCCAATCCTATAGCAGGCCCTGCAACATTCAGAGAAAGGAGGGCATTGTAGAGGTATCGTTTGCATTGACTGAGCATTTGTAGCCTGTCATCTGAGAACAAGCCGATGGGGGTGTTGAGCTCATCATAGCTCACCCACTTCTAAAGAGTCTGCCTCAGGATCATGACAGCAACGGGTCCCGAGTAGTGTCCCGAGTTGTCTCATAGCTGATATTGTGCATATCCTGTTGAGAAAATCCTTGCAATCCTAATAGGTCTGATTCTTCTGCAATCAAGATGCTTGCTGAATGACCATGAAACCAATCAGCTGTATCACGGATGCCAAGGCCGATTTGGGGACCCACGAGATGCCAGGTGCTTTGCTAAGAGCTTTCTGCGGCATGACGGGCGCTGACAAGAAAGTTTTGACATCAAGCTCAGGAGGTAGATCAACCACCAGAGATGCCAACACTGGCATGTTGCCTTTGGAAGCTTTGTTCCCTTTCGATGATGACGGTGGGCCATTGCCCTGCAGTTGGACCTGATGGGAGTCCACGGGCGCAAACGCCGCGACCGTGTGGGTTCCTAGTGCCCAAAGGGCGCCAAAAGAATCCAAATGGGTCCATTGATGTCCATTGTCCATCTCCCCGGGCCTTGGCCAAATCAGCTAGGCCATAGATCTCTTCAAGGAGGTATTCCTGTCCGAAGACTGACCACACGGTTAAAAGAGGTTCAAAGGGCTCTTTTTACGCCACTGGGCAAATCAATCAATGATGCAAAGCTGAAAACGAGGAGTGCAGGGTCATGATGCGCACCAGTGGTGAAGGTGATCACATGCTCGGTGCACTAAACAGAACAGATGCAAAAAGGTATATAATGCAAAGTGGCATGGGTCTTTTCTTCGTTTCCCTTCCCTCCCAAACCCAAACCCAACCCAAAAGCTCACACCCGATCCGTTCTCGCCCGGACTGGATCCCATCATGTCATCCCATCTCTTTCGCTCCATGCGAAAGACCGACCGACCCACCAAACCCATTTCGAGAAGTCCAGTGCCCGAGCTTCAATTGGGAATGATCTATACCAATTGGAGCTCGAGCTATTTAGTAATACCCGATAATTACCTGCCATTCCCTACCAATGATCTACAATTACCTACCCAATCAATCCACCATCAAAGTTGCAGTAATAGTTAGTTGTTGCTTGGAAGCGACCAATGGTCGACTCTGTGTTGCCAACTCCGCTGGCGCGAGTTCGGAACATCTGTTACTTCAATCTCAACTGGGCGTCCCATGTGCAGAGTGAGCGTAACTGTGCATGGCTGCTTGACTACAAATGAAGCCTTGGCCTCTACAGTACACATCTGTGCACAAGCAACTTGTTGTTCCAACCTTGAACGAGCAACAAGTTGAACTTCGATCCATCAGGGGTCCCAGCAACTTCTTGACCCAGCCGCCAGGCACACCACTTTTTGCCCCCAGGCCTTCTTTGATCAAATCTTAAGCCATCTAACGCTCATATGTGCGCCATTTGGCTTGATGGAAACCACAATAGAAGAACACCGCACCAGTGGGCCTGGTCTTGCCATGGTACTTGCACGCCTTGCCATCCCGGGTGGCACCATGACAATCCACCAGCTCTTTCACCTCCTTCTTCTGGCGCTTGGCATCCGGATGCTTCACCTCCCGTCTCACCTTGTCTCCCGTGGGCACGTTCGCTCGTGGAGTACTACGCCGCTGCGGCGTGGACGGCGGCGAGGCCGGCTCCGCGGCTCCCGGGACGCCGCACATCAACCGCCGCGCGGGGGACCTCACCGACGGGGAGCGCCTGGATCGGGCGACCTCCCGGACGGGCGTCTCGGTGCGCGAGCGAGCCGTTGGTCGTGGGGTGCGGGAACGGGTGGAGCGCTCGATGGGGCGGGGCTGGGAATGGGTGCGGGCAGAACGGCCGGGTGAGCGATCGCTGGGTCGCGGGGTCGGGGGGCGCGGGCGCGAGGCGGAGCGGCCACGCTGTAAGGTGGGCTGCTTGCGCTTGAGGATGGAGGGTGGGGAGAGGAGCTCAGTGGCACTGGATTGGCTGGGGCTTCCCAATTCACCTCAAAAGGCATGAAATCGGCGTGGAATCAAGAACTCGAACGTCATTAGTACTGTTTGGAGTCTGGATTTGTGCTCCAATTCAAAGTGCACTTTGAAATTTGATGATAAAGATAATATATAAATTTAAGAGTATAACTATTCCGGAAATATGTGTTTCAGAAAGTGCAAAGTTTGCCACCAAACCCTACCGTCATGAAGGGTTTTGAGAAGGAGACAATGATCAACTTTGAATAGTTAATAATTAGAGAGGGACAGTACACACAGTAAGGAACCGGCAAATGCATTTTTGTCGTGTCTGGAGTGTGGATGTCAGCTACGCAGTCCGGGTGTTCGTTGGACTATTGTGTCGTGAGGTGAACCAACAAGGCCCAACATCAACCTCTTCAGATGGGTGCCTCCGCTGTGCCTCACAGCCTCCAAACAAACGAAACGATACCCCCAAAGAAACAGGTCGAGCAACACGGAAGGAACGGACGCCCCTTTGTTTTAGTCTCACATGTTTGACACCCTGCCAGACGTGTTTTGGATCGCTTTCTCCAGCACCACTGGAACATTAACGGAATGTGTAATGTGGGTCTTTGTGACCTTTCCTGTCCATTCGTGCGTCGCATTTGACACAACCCCCCATGCGAGTGACAAGGTGAAGAGACCCCACATCATCGTTCGGTGAACATGCCTTTGGTTAAAAAAGACTTCTCATGCATGCAAGGCATTGCAAGGCTGAGCTCGTAGTTGTCTAGCTTGGAACTCTTGCATGCCCCGCATAGCTCTGCACTTGTCACTGTCTAGCTCCGCACCAATCTCACCTTCATTTCAACAGCGACTTCTCCCCCCCAAAACAGAAAAGAACCTGCAGAACCCTCCCCTGGCTTCCCTGCATCGCAACTCCGCATCTGTCCCCCCCGGTGCTCCACCCGTGACGCCGTTCCCGTCGTCTCCGGGTGGCTCAGGCGTGCCGTGGCCAATCGGCAGGCCATGGCGTGGGGCGAGCTCCTGGGACTCAGGCCGCGGCGTTGACATTCGGCCTCCAACTGCTCCGGACCTTGACGGAGTCGGTTTCTCCGGCGGAGTCGGACGGCTTGCACCCGGCAGTGAAGCCGGACGTTTTGAGTCGGGGAGGTTGGGAACTTGAAGCCGGAGTCGATAAGGAGCTCCGCTTTTTCTTTGTTTTCCGGACTTCAATGGTGACAAATAGGGTATAATCTATGGTTTTGAAGGAACTGGAGTTTATATCCTTTACAGTTTGGGTATGTTGAGGGTTGGTTTACTCTCATGGCTTCCCATCTTCCTATCATCCCCACCCATCATCCATCTCATGCTCCGGACTGGACCTATCTGAGAGCTATCACCAGCAGTCCCGGAGACTATGTAGTGATTCAGCTATTGGAGATGGAAGATGGTTTTCCTACGGTTAACCGTAGTATCCTTTCAACATGAGCCGTGGAAAATTAGGGGGTACAAAAATTATGCAGAAAAACACGAACCGGTCAGGGGCCATAAAACCGCATGGAGCATGGTTCGCCCGTTCGTCTCTCAATGGACTTTGATTCAGTTTCCCCTACCAAAGCTCAAGGCGTTTCATCTCTGAAGCCCAAGGCACGCAGCATCAAAAGCGTCTTCACTGCCGCACCACAGGCAGCTGACAGGCCGCCACCGATGCCGTTCCGTTGAGCTGACGTCCACGGCCCACCTGACGTCCATGGACAAACACTCGCGGTCTGACACCCACATAGATGGTACAATGTTGTACAAACTTGCTACATTCCAAACATTATCTTCATCTGCCTATATAATTACCTCCACTAACCCCCAAATCAAAGCAGCAATAGTTGCTACAACTATTCCGACCAATCTCAATGCCACCTGCATTGAGCAGGGTCTCTCAGAGGGCGCGACCACAAAATCCTACATAATTTAATTTAGTGTAACACTGCATATCCAAGCACTTGTTAAAATCATGATGACGATACAGCTGAATACAAATTCTGCTTTGAGATGCTTGCATACCAGATCATAATAAACATAGTATCTAACAACAAGAAGTCGGTAAATACGTATTAGGTCGTCTGCGCACTGCGTCATTTTGCCAAAGCACGCGACAAAGAAATACAAACACAATCAAATTCATTCACAGCTGGAAAACACCAAACAATTGAACAAAATGTGCACCCCGTTCCATCACCCCCGCAGTGTCCAAACGATATTAGGTTGTTGAAAAAAAAAAACATGCGTTGAGTATCTTGATGTTCTACAATCCGTTGGGTACTCCTTACCTACTCCGTTTTCTTTCCCCAAAAATCGCCACTGAAACGCCGAAAACCGCGCCTGTCGACACCGGGATGGATCCCGGTGGTGGTGGACTCTTGGATCTGACCCTCGCCCGTGGCGGCGTGGAAATCGGAGTCCTGGACGGGAAGGTTCCCAAGCGCCCAATGGAGTGCAGCGCTTGGTGATTCTGGGATGTATTTCTGGAGACTCAAAATATTTGGATCCCCAAATATCTGGAAACTATCTGACATTATATGACTTTGATTGAACTTGAATGGATGCATCCTTGTCGCAGTGATCCAAACATGGCCGCCGAGGTTTTGCAGCTCATAGATCTATATATTGTTATTTCGAAGGGGAACAATGAACATGACCTCAAAGGTTCTTAACGTGCACAAGCAGCACCACCGGGATCCCAAAAACAAAAGAGCCCCATAACAAAACCTCGTCAGCTTGACTACTGCTGTGTGTTTCAATTTGAAGGCAAAAACATCTACAACCACCGCGTCTGGGGTTTGTCGTTTTGAACTGGGAAACCTTCTCAGAACCCATCAACCGAATGCAACCTAATGAGCACCACATGGGCCAGCTTCCTGACGACAGGGAGCTGGACTCAGTCCTAGTTGTATCCGTTTTAGCAAACTACTTAGCGGCGACGTCATAACGCCTTCATCCTTCTGCCAACCGATGGGGCAACTCACCTCAAGTTTTTGGAGCCCATGAGAAAATGAACCGGTGCCAGTAAAAGAAAAGAAGGGCCCGTTGTGCGCGTGACACTGTTCAACCGATTCATAGTGATTATATAATCCTACTATACACGGCGTGACACACAGCAATCTATCAAAACACTGTCTACAATATTAAAAGTTTCAAACGCAGCACACGTCAACTGCTCATCATTCAACTGCTCACGTCAAGTCAAGGGTCACACCGAAAAACATGAGTGCCGAGATCTCAGCACGGGGGTAGAAGAAAGCACAGCTACACCGAAAATGCACTGTGCGACGGGCAGCAACAGTAACTTTATGGTCCAAATGCTTGGGTTCTGTCACTTTATGGTCTGCGCAGACCACCTCTCAGCCTCGAGCAGCTATTCTATCAAAATCACACGCTCAATGCCCCAATCAGTGGCATTGAGTCTTTCTTGCTATTAGTCTTCTGGTACGGGGAACAAATTTTTTTGCCCGACTCCGGCCCTTTGCCCCTCTTCCCATTTGTGCCGCCTCATGTAGAGGTCACGGGCGGGACTTTTGGATCTCAGACCTCGGTGTCTGTCGAAACGGAGGAGACCGAGGAGACCGGGGGAGTCCCGGGTCAAGTCTTGAGCTGAAGAACAC